TGGGCTTCGGCCTTATCCAGCTTGATTTGTGGGCTTCGGCCTTATCAAGCTGATTCGTGGGCTTCGGCCTTATCAAGCTTGAATTTGTGGGCTTCGGCCTTATCAAGCTTGATTTGTGGCTTAGCCCTTATCAAGCTTGATTTGTGGGCTTCGGCCTTATCAAGCTTGAATTGTGGGCTTCGGCCTTATCACGCTTGATTTGTGGCTTTCGCCTTATCAAGCTTGATTTGTGTGCTTAGGCCTTATCAAGCTTGATTTGTGGGCTTCGGCCTTATCAAGCTTGGTTTGTGGGCTTCGGCCTTATCAAGCTTGATTGGTGAGCTTCGGCCTTATCAAGCTTGATTTGTGGGCTTCGGCCTTATCAAGCTTGATTTGTGCGCGTACACTTACACACACATACACACGTACACACACATACTTACACACACATACTTACACACACACAACACACACACACGCACACGCACATACTTACACACACATAACACACACACCGCCCCCCCCCATACACACACACGTGCTTGCGCGTCAAAGGTTTGCCAGCAACCTCCATCGAACCAGGCTTCTCCTGCACCCGGAGGTCAAGTTTCGTCGCTCCTTCTCGTACGTGTGCGTGCGTGTGCCTGCTTGTTCGGCTGCGTGCGTGTTAGGCGTGTGCCCCACTGCGCACCTGCATTTGGGTGTGGCTGTTGGCCGCGCGGCCCATTCCGCCTCCTACTGGGGTGTGGATGCCGTTATGTGATGAGGGGTTGGATACACGAACACAACAAGAACAAGTGCAACTGGTGCAAGTGCAATGGGTGTCGTGTGTCGGATGCGATGTGACATGTTTGTATTTTGGCACTACGCCAGCTGTTCTACCGGTTGTGACGATGTGCTTTGACGGCACCGTGTAGTTCCCCCGCATCTCTTCATAGCCGACTGCACTCTTGCCCACGGCATGTCTGTTTACCACCAGGCTCGCGCCCGGCGATACCTTGTGGTTTGACGGCACCCAGTATCATCGCGGACCCGCGGCAAACGACACGGGACGCCTGCTGCTGTTCGTGGATGTACGTTGCGCTTGGTGTGGCGGTGGTGCTGCGTTGTACCCGCGATGTGACCCGTGTCCTGTCTCGCACCATTTGCATGTACGCACATGTGCACACATGCACGCAGACACACACACGCACACACCTTCAAACACGCATCCTTACACACCCTCGCACACAACACACAACACGCACACATGCACCTTCAAACACACATACAACACAACACACACCCTCCCATGCTTACACACATACAACACAACACACACCCTCCCATGCTTACACACATACAACACAACACACACCCTCCCATGCTTACACACATACAACACAACACACACCCTCCCATGCTTACACACATACAACACAACACACACCCTCCCATGCTTACACACATACAACACAACACACACCCTCACACACAACACACACACACACCCTCACACACAACACACACACACACCTGCCATTGCATCTCAGGTGCGGAGGCGTGTTTTTCAGACCGCCCCGCAGATATTCCACGCGTGCAGGCCACTGTATAAGCTCGGCCTGTATGCGCGCAATCCCGTAGTACAGCTGACGCTTATGCTACTGGCCTGCACGGGCAGAGAGGACGTAATAGATCACCTGTCACAGGACCCCACGAAAGTGTCTGAGCTGCACGCACTCGCCCGCGCTGCCCAGGCACGCACCACCATGGGGTCGTTTTGTGTGCCTCGATTTGTTTGCCACTAATCCCCCCCCCAACACACACACACGCACGCTCACACCCCCGCCAACGCACTCGCTTGCCCTTTGTAAATTCAGGTTGATGGACTCGAAGGGCCTGTCAGCGAGGACGCCGTCATCAATGCCCTCAAGGAGCGTTGTGGAATTCACGTCCTCAGATGCCTCAGGGGCGTTGTGCCCAAGCACGTACTCAGGGTTGAGGAGGTTCGTGGTGGCGATGGCGAGGCAATGGGTGTCCGGCTTGTGCGTGACAGTGAGGTTCCCGTTCAGGAGCACGACGTGAGCGTCGATGACCCAGGTGGCCCGGACTTTTACCGCAGAGGTAAGCGACGCCACTCAGACGCCAGGCGTGGTGGCCATGACGACGACGACGACGACGACGACGACGACGACGACGACGACGACGACGACGACGACGACGACGACGACGACGACGACGACGACAAGGAGGCTTAAACGATACGAGAGAGGACGAGAGAGGACGAAGCAGCACGTCAATGAACAATGCCTCCTGTTGGCACGCATGCCACCTCGCGTTTCACCTCCCCTGTTACCCACTTTTCAAAAAGATGCCACTTTCTCGTGCACAGTGACCTGCGTGCGTTGCACAATTGCTGCCACTAAAATCGATGTTTACCCCACGAATCAGTTTAAGAAATGACGCCAGTGAAGCGAATTCTGCTCGAGCTACGGGGAGGTAGAGGGCCAGAGAGATACAAAGAGATAAAGGCAGAGACAGAGAGACAGGGTGAAGAGAGACAAAAAAATAGATACAGGCAGAGATACAGCCGGGCAGTTGCAGAGTCGGCTGGCACGCTTGTGCAATCATGCATTTGTCATTCTGTTCGCACAACATACGGAGCGCCCTGTCTCACACTCAACGACAGCCGCAAACTGCTTCTCCTCCTCAGCCGTCATCCTCGACGTGCTGTGGCACTCCTTGATGCAGCTGTCTGCGCCGTTCGCACTGCTCCCGGCGCGCCATGGCCAGCACGCACTGGAACATCACGTTGCATCCGCCCGTGCAATGGGAGATGACATCCTTGCACACGTACTTCTCGCAGATTGAGGAACCGGGGCTCTGGCCGCCGTCGTCCGCGCTGCTGCAGTGCATGTGCCACTCGCACGAGTCCTGGCTGTCGCACTTGGTGGCGTCGCTGATGGCCGTGCAGCTGCGCAGGTGGCAGTGGCCGCTCACGTCCCACGCACATCCGTCCTCAGCCTCGCACAGGTCCTTGTCCGTGCCAGTGCACTTTCCGTCCGTTGGGTGTTGCGCAGTGCTCCGATGGGCGACACCCGGCCGCGTTGCTGCACGCCTCCAGGTCGCCCTCAAACACCCCGCAGTACCCGCCATCGTCGTTGCTGTTGCTTCCGCACACGTCCGACCACGCGCACCCGGCGCTCATGCAGGCATCGCTCATCTGCAAATGCCCAGCAGCAACAACCAACAACGACAACAACAACCAACGACAACAACAACCAACAGCAACAACAACCAACAACCAACAACCAACAACGACAACAAGAAACAACACACAGAGGCAAGCGCCATTGTCAGCAGCATCATCAACAAAAAGCACACTCATTGACAAAGCAACACATGTCTCCGTTTCCCCGTCACACCACGCTGCTCCTGCCCTCCACCCCCCCCCCAAACAAACACGCACGAGCATCACGAGCACCACTGCGTACCGTGAATTGGTTGCAGTCGTGCACGCCAATGCAACACCGCTTGTTGGCATAGCTTGGCAGGCACACGTCCGTGGGCCCGTGCTCGTATTGCGCCAATGGCCATGTCGTAGATCGATGCTGTTAATCGCAAACTGGAGCGCCTGGCTCGTGTCCTCGTCCGTGGCCTGCAGCGTGCCGACGACGAACGGAAGCGCCGTCGTGTTCTCGGGAAGCCTGTTGCTGGTGATGGTGGGCGTTGTCGGGGCGTCGTTCCTGTCCTGCACAAACACGAGGATCTGCGATGTGGCGGAGAGGCCGCCTTGGTCTGTCGCGGTGACGGTGACAACGAACACGGACCGCACCTCGTAGTTCAGCGTCGCGCCCGCTGCCAGCACCAGCTGCACCGTGCGCCGGTCGGTCGCTGTCTGGAACGAGCGCGAACTTGCCAGAGGCGTCGGTGAGCAGGAACGTGTGCGTGTCGTTGGCGATGCTGTCTGGGTCCTGCACGGCGAGTGAGCCGGCCACGGTGCCCGGGAGCGCATGCTCGGAGATGAAAGGACACGCCGTTGGGGACGTCAGATGTGGGCGACTCGTTCAAGTCTTGCACGAGCAGCGTAAACTGCTGTGACACCGCAAGGGAGCTGTCGCGGGCATCGCGCGCGGTGACGTTGATGATGACGAAGGACGACTGCGACTCAAAATCGAGTGACGACCGGTTGACAAACAGTGGCTGGTTCTCAATGTAGGCGACGCCGGCTGGGGACACGTCAAACACAAACGGCTGCGGGTCTGCGGTGGCATCGGCCGTGTCCGGATCCAGCACGTGCACGGCACCCACCATCCACAACAACGGCGCCGTCGTCACGTCCACCTTCAACATCAACGTCGCTGACATCAACGAGCCGCCCACAGACGTGGTCGTGCACGCCATCAACGACACGTCGCAGCAGCCGCTACAGCAGTTCCCTGTGCCCGAGCAGCCAGCACACGCCACAACAGCAGCGCAGACGTGGTGACGACAGGGTTGGCCTCGTGGTTGAGCGGCGCTGCAGACTTGACCAGCAGCATGTCGCCCATGATTTGAAAGGCTGCAGCGGCTGTTGAGCCTTGCGGAGACACAAGTGCGTATGTGAAGATGTCACCAGCATCTTGGTCCACGGTGCTGATGCGGGATACAAGGGTGCCAGCTGGCATGCTCTCTGCAATGCTGGTGGTATCAAGCAGCACGGCTGTTGGCGCGTCGTTGTTGTCTTCAACGTTGATGCGCACAAGAAAGTCAGCCGACAGGTGGGAAATGGTGCCGTTGTCTGTTGCACGCACGACAGCCTCGATGGCCGACCCATCCACCTCAAAGTCCAGTGCGCGCGTGATCTCCAGAGTGGGAGAAGCTGCACCTGCACCACCACTGCCACCACTGCAACTGCCACCATTTGTCCAGCGGGAAGGTGTTCTCTGGCACGCGCGTGGTGTTGATGAGAGCACCTGCAGCGTGTGGCTCTGGTGGGTGTCTGGGTCTTCCACAGTGACAGTGACGAGAGGCAGCGGGAAGGTGTTCTCTGGCACGCGCGTGGTACTGAGGGAGATGCGTTCTGGCGGCCTGTTGGTGTCATCACTGCACGTCGGGCCACCCCACTCGCCGACACATGCGCACTCAAACGCGTTCACCAGGTCCGTGCACACGCCGCCGTTCATGCACGGCTGGGCAGCGCACTCGTCCACCTCCACACACGTCCCTTGGAACGTGTAGTTGCCTGTCGCCGTGCAAGTAGCCGTGTAGGTGGCGGTAGCCTGTGCATCGCCCGTGGTGGTGTACCCATCATCGCACGTGTACAGCGCCTGCTGCTGGTAGGTGCGGGGCTGGTGTTGGCTGGCCATGGTGGCAAAGGGACGAGAAGGCGGCAGCCCACACGACAGCACATCGCACGAGCGCCCATCCGCTTGCAGCTCAAACCCGGCAGGGCAGGAGCACTCAAACGACCCAATTGTGTTGGTACATGCGTCTTGGCACGCCTTGCTGAACGACTGCTCTTGCCGGTTGCGGCCGTGTAGGCTGCATACGCGTCTGGGTCGCACTCGTTGACGTCACGACACGCCAGCTCCGTGTTGGTGTAGGTCTGATCGGCCCGGCACGTGCGGGTGAACGAGGTCATGTAGGCAGGCGTGCTGTCTGGAGGAAGGAGCGTGGTGAGCGTGCTGCCGGATGTGGTGTCGTAAACGACGTTACCGGAGCGGCACGAGTACACGACAGAGTCCTCAAAGTGGACGTCTACCCCTGGTGACTGGTGACTGGGATGTGATGGTGGCTGCATCCGCAGTTGCCGGTGCTGGGCACTGCACGCGTTGGGCGCACAGGTCGCCCTGGAAGCCCGTGCCTTCGCAGGAGCACGTGAAGTCTGCCACGAGGTCTGTGCAGGTGCCGGGCCAACAAGGGTTGGGGCTGCAGTCGTCGATGTTATCGGCACACGTGTCGCCCTCAAACCCGGTCGGGCAGGCACATCCGAATGCCTTGATGCGAGTACCGGCAGGCAGGGCCGTGGTGACGTCGTAGGTGAGCGGGTCACGGCGCGCCGTTGCTTGCGGGGCGGTCGCAGATGCCGGGTGGACGATGGTGAAGATGCTGGTGGCAACGCGGTACTCCACCTCTGCCAACACGCTTGAGTTGCCGGGCACCTGCTCGCTTGCCAGCACGTGCACGCAGCGCTCGTCGGTTGTGGATGTCACGCCCGTGGTCTGCCACACGCCGGCGGTGTTGGGGATGCTGGACAAGGCGGTGAGGGTTGCCTGTCGCAGCTGGGTGCTGGTGTATGCCGATGTTTCATTGGCGGCGAAGCACACGATGAAGCCAGCGCGCGTCGTGCAAGTGCCACGCACGCAGGGCGACGAGGACTCGCAGGTGGCGACGGGGAACGACAGCGGCGTGGACGTGGGTGGCGGTGTGGTGCCGCCTGTGACAGACGGGTTTTGTGGTGGTCGTGGATGTGATGGCAGAGGGGCGGATGATGGCGAGCCGCTGGGTGGAGAGGGTGCTCCCATCCGTCATGTGCAGCACAATTGGGCTTGGCGAGACGGGGATGGCGGCGGTGGAGCGGAGGTCTACCCGCTGCAGCCGCACGCGAATGCTGGACTGGATGACAGCTCGTCTCTGTGATGAGGAGGTTGCCAATGGTGATGTTGTCGATGGGCAGGGTGCTGAGGTCGCGGTCCTGCGCCACGACGAGCACGTCCACCACGTCAAGCGCCGTCTCCGTGTCGATGGTGTCCGGGAAGAGCTGGCTGGACAGCGTACGTGCATGTGCGGTTGTCGCTGCTGAGCATGCTGTCGGGTGCAGTGCACGCGCACGCGTACGAGCCGTTGGTGTTGATGCACTGCTGCAGGCTGCTGAGGTGGCGGCGGGCCTGCGCCACCGACGCGCACTCGTCAATGTCCACGCAGGTTGCCGATGGCGCACCGAGTCTGCCGCTGGCGGTGCAGGTGCGAAAGACCAGCGCAGGCCCGTCCTCGCTGGCGGAGCTGCGAAACCCAGAGAGGCGCTGGAAGACAGCACGCTCGTCGTCGGCAATGCTGTTGTCTGGCGCCTCAGGGAACAGCTGCGCGCTGAACTGCGGGGTGGTGTCTTGCGTGACGTTGCAGGTGATGAGGTGCTGGCATTGTGGGCCAAAGAACCCTGTTCCCGTACAGTTGCACGCGTACGCTGCCGGAGTGTCGATGCATGTTCCATGCACGCAGGGCGCAGACGCACAACCATCCTCGGCCTCGTACACGCGCAGGAGCTGCGCGGACGTGAGGACGTGAGGGGGGAGGCGGGGAGTGAAGAAGGCGAACTGCATGCGTACACATGCGCGGCGATTCACACACACGCACATACACACACGCACATACACACACAGACACAGACATACATACACATGTACACAACTACCCACATACACGCACCCCATGCATACACATGTGCATACACGCAGATATGCACACACCTGGGCAGTGAAAAGCCTTCTGTCTGCTACTTTGAACTGGCGGTGGTTGCGAGCATCGTTGTTGCTGCCCGAAGCGCGCTTGGATTCAAAAGCCCACCCAATCCTCGATGCCACAGCCTATGACGTGCACACACACGCACACACACGCGCACACACACGCACATAAGTGAGCAGACACGGCGTCGTGCCTTCGAGCATGCGCTGAACACCACAACCACAGCACACTGGTGTGCGTATTGCTTACTGACAGCTGCGCACGTGAATCTCCTCCATCCCCAACGCTCTGCAAGCGCTACATGCGCTGAGAGCGATACCTTCGGTGCAACGGTGGTTTGCGATGGTGATGCTGCCGCTGCTTCAGTGCAAATAACGGTGGCGAAGAGGACAATGGTGAGGAGGACGATGGGGATGACATCAAGGGGGTCTGTGACAGAAGGGGTGTCCGTAGCGCTGTCGCTGTAGCCGTCGTCGCGGACATGGGTGACGGTGGCGCCGTGTTAGGGAAGGGAGCTGACGACGTCCCGGCTCCTATCGTCGCCGTGTGTTTGTGTGTGTGTGTGTGTGCAGTGCGGCGTGCAAACAAGGAGAAAAGAAAAGTTGTGCGCGCGTGCGTGTGTGTGTGTGTGTGGGGCACAGCGACAGCAACAGCAACAGCGACAACCACAGCCACAACAACAACAACCACAACAACAGCAGCAACAACCACAACAACAGCACCGCCACCAACACCGCTGCACACGATAGGAGCCGGTATGTGCTCATCGACTCGCGTGTGCAGTGGTGTTTGTGGGTGTCGGTGTGCAGTGCGGCGTGCAGTGCAGTGCGGCGTGCAGTGCAGTGCGGCGTGCAGTGCAGTGCGGCGTGCAAACTAGGAGAAAAGAAAAGTTGTGCGCGCGCGTGTGCGTGTGTGGGGGGGGGCACAGCGACAGCAACAACAACAGCGACAACCACAGCCACAACAACAACAACAACCACAACAACAGCAGCAACAACCACAACAACAGCACCGCCACCGACACCGCTGCACACGATAGGAGCCGGTATGTGCTCATCGACTCGCGTGTGCAGTGGTGTTTGTGGGTGTCGGTGTGCAGTGCGGCGTGCAGTGCAGTGCGGCGTGCAAACAAGGAGAAAAGAAAAGTTGTGCGCGTGTGGCCTGTGTGTACGCGCGCGCACGCGTGTGTGTATGTGTGTGTGTGTGTGTGTGTGTGTGTGTGTGGTAGCCGAGCCCGAAGGCGCATTGTCTGGTACGCGTGCGGGCAACGCCACGGTCGCATTGTCTGGTACGCGTGCGGGCAACGCCACGGTCACTGATGGCGATGCCGGCGCGTGTGGCGGGCGAGTCATCCACGTCGTCGCTGGCATTGCTGTTGATGGGAGCGGCGAACACGATGGAGGCGCCGTCCACAGCTACGAACGCGCTGTCTTGGCTGCCAGCAACGACGCTGACGGGCGTGCCTTCTGGGTCTGTGAATGCGAGTGTGGCAGTCACGGTCCCAATAGCCATCGTCTCGGTCGATGGCGGCGACGTTAAAGGTGCGCGTGGGCTGCATTTCAAAGTCAAGCCGTGCCGCTGCCAAGATCAGGGTCACCCACCCCGTTGGTCTGCGCAATGAATAATCAACAACATATGTGGGAGTGCGTGAGAGAGAGAGAGAGTGTGTGTGTGTGTGAGTGCGTGAGAGAGAGAGAGGGTGTGTGAGCTTGTGAGAGGGAGTGGGGGGCGTGGATATGTGTGAAAGTGATCGAGAGACGAACACACGCACGCACACGCACACGCACATGCACACGCACACGCACACGCACACGCACACGCACGGGTACGCACCATGACGTTGAGGGCTGAGGATGTCGATATTACAGCCCAACGTGGAGCGCATGCTGGAGCCGGTGCGACCCAGGTCGAAGTGTACAAACCCCCTTGGTGTATGTCCCGGGTGGTGATGACAGCGGTGCGCAAGCGAGTACATGTGTGTGAGTGTGTGTGAGTGTGTGTGAGTGTGTGCGTGAGGGAGTGTGAGCGCGTATGTGTGCCTGCATGCGTGTGTGCGCGAGGGAGTGTGTGGGTAAAACACTCGTGGTTGCTACTGGTGCAGATGCAACAACAACAACAACAACGACAACAACAACGACAACAACAACAACAACAACAACAACAACAACAACAACAACAACAACAACAACAACAGCAGCAGCAGCAGCAACAGCAACAACAGCACCGCCACAACAACAGACAACCACAGACAACCACCCATACTTCCATACCTGCAGGAGTAAGGTGTCATGTGACGTGGAGGGCGCGAGATGCCCGGGCGCGACTGTGCGCGCGTGCCTGCCTGCATGTGTGTGTGTGTGTGTGCGTGACACGCGATGGAGGGGGATGAGCATCAGGACGAGCCAATGGCAGAATAGCACAAGCAGACACGATGTGGCGCGCATCCAGAAACCACCCCCCCCACCAAACCACCCCCCCCACCACACACACACACACACACACACACACACGCACATACACACACATACACACACATACACACACATACACACACATATATATACATACACACACATACACACACATACATGCACACACATACACACACATACACACACACACATACACATACATACACATACACATACACACACACACACACACACACACACACACACACACACACACACACACACACACCGTAGATCGCACGCAGATGTCTCCAAAATCCTTCCCGCGAAATGCCTCTCATTGCTGCGAACTGCGTAAGATTTCCACGAATTTTCCCAAGCAAACATGGCGAAGCACTCCAAGCAAACATGGCTGCTGCTGTATTGCCACACGACCAGCTGGTGAACAGCGCAGGTCGACGGAAGCGACGCGCGCCCCAACAACGACGCCGACAATCACACCAGCAGCGGACTGCCAGCACCAGCACCCGATACCCACGTGCATGTGATGGTCAAGCGCTCCTTCTTGCAGCCCGTGTCGGCCACATGCTATGATGCGTCGTGCAGCCGCCCTCGCCAACAGCCGCAGCTCACGGTCTCCGGCTGCACCCCCATCGACCCCATCCCGCCTCTTTGACGGCGCTTTCGCCGACCCGTTGCATCTGCACTGCTGGTACCCCTGCGCGCGCAGCACAACCACCATCGTCAACATCATCAGCAGCATCAACCCATCGCCGCTGGGCGAACCGTCACCACCCTCTGGCCGCGGCCGCTGTCGTCATTCTACCAGCTGCCACCGGACATGATGGAGGCGAAGCGGTTTGGTGGGTATCTTGATATCTTGATGTGTCGATTCGAACATCGCACCATTGCTGTACTTGTGTGAGTGTGTGTGTGTGTGTCTGTGTGTGAGTGCGCGTGTGTGCTTTCCTGTTTTGTTTTTGGTTTGCTACGGCGCGATGTCGTACGACCGCTGTGACTTTGAACCGTGCTCATTCTGCACTCATCACCACCGTGCATGCATGTAACACACACACACACACACACACACACACACACACACACACACACACACACACACAACACACAACACAGGCCGCTGCTGGCGATGCTGGCGACACCAACGACGGCAACAACAACGACAACAACATCAACAGCGGCAATGACGACGGCAACAGCGATAACGATGGCTGGAACCAACACCCACTCGAGCGCAGCCCGATGATTGGTGCGCATGCGAGCGCGTTTCCCTCACGTGCCTGTGTCTGTGGTATTGTGACATCCAGCACGGACTTGGGGTTGGCATTGCGTACACGCAGGTGCATGCTTCTGCACGTGTACATCGTTGTGTGTGCGTGGTTACGGGCGCGTGTGCGTATGTGTGCGTGGTTACGGTGTTGTGCGTGTTTGTTTGTTTGCGTGCGTGCAGTTGTTTCATGTGCGTGAGCGCATGTTGCTTGTCCTCGTCATCGGATGTGAGTAGCTCACCTGTCTCTGTTACACATTGCAGGGGTGCTGTGGAGACGATCATGGTGATGATCAACTCTATCATGGGCCGCGACAGCAGGCGCTCTTTGCTCCACATCATCGTGAAGAAGCGGTGCGTACACCTGCCACATTTAATTCACATGCTGTGCTGTTTCACCTTCACACACACGCACACACACACACACACGCACACACACACGCACACACACGCACGCACACACACACACACGCACACACACACACACACGCACACACACGCACGCACACACGCACGCACACGCACACACACACACACACACACACGCACGCACGCACACGTCCCTTACTGCTGCAAACCACAATCATCGCTGTCGTGTGTTCTGTTGTACCAGGCCCATCGGGTGGCTGCTGTCGCTATTCCCTTTTCCAACAGCAGAATCTTGCATACACAGCTGCACTCATCCAGGATCGAGCGGGACCGACCGCGGTGCCGCCACCACACATACAGGTGGGGCGTGTGGCTGTGAGTGATCTGGTGGCTCTTGCACTTCCGACTAATGTGCTTGCTCTGGCCATGCCTGTTTATGCACGTGTGTCGCCTCCCACCTATGTGTTTTGCACACACACACAACACACAGACACAACACACACACATGCACATACACACATACACACACACACACACACATACACACATACACTCAGCGGTGCTCAGCACTCAGGAACAGATTAGGATATCCTGGACCAGCTGCACCGAGAGCATGCACAGCGCCTGACGCGCGCAGATGCGATCAAACGAATGGTGCAGGAACGACAAGGGCAACAGCAGCAGCAGCCATCACCACCACCACCAGCAGCAATAGGAACAACCACCGCAAGAGATGCCATTTCTCGCCCAAACTCTCTCTGCATCTCGTGCACACCCCGTTGATGACCTCGCACCCGCGATCATGCGCATCATTACTGACTGGACAGCCAGCAAAAGCACAACCACTCAAGCCTCCACGGCTCTCACACACACGCACACACACACACACATGTGGAGTCAACCACAACAGCCCCAGCTGTCGCTGCGGCGCCAACTACCGCTGGCACCGGGGTCGACTGAGGCTGTCGAATGGAGTGGTTGACTATCTGGAGGAACTACTGGCTTTGGATGCACCCTCCCCCCCATCGCGGCCGACGCTGAAGGCGATATCTGATTGACGCCCTGTCCCTGATGGATGCCCTGTCTCTTTGCTGTCACTGCTCTCGTTGCCGTCACGGTTGTCGTGCGCGTGTCCATTGTTCCCAACCAATACAACGCCCAACAGTGCACAGCCCCCGAACAAGATCAAACATATCCCCTCAACAGGGAG